TTCCTTCCCTTCCCAACTACAAGAACCCAACAGCCTGGAATACGCAAGCCATCACATATCTTCATAGACGGAGGGGAGGAAACTACTACCAGAAGGCTTTCCCTCTTTCAGTACCCTCCTCAGGCAGCTCTGACCACGGGGGACCTGGCCCAGACCCCACAGCCATGAGCAGATGTGGATAGACATGAAGGGGAAGGGAAGCAGCCCTTGCTCTCAGGGCTACATCCCCCCCAGTCCCTATCCCAAGGAGCATCTCCACTGTACCACCTTGCTGAAGTTTTTGGTCTCTCTCTGCTTGCCTGGTGGGAGATGTGACTCCTTACCCCTTGGAATACCTTGGAAACAACCAGAAAAAGAAGAATAAATAACCCAACACCTGATTGGGTTTGATTGACCAAACCTCTGGCTGGATCAGCCCTTCAAGTCTACAAGGAGGCAGTTAATAGAAAAGGGAGATGTTGAAACCAAACTCTGCTCATTGGCTTCTCTCTGCAGAAACACCCCAGTTTTCAGATGTCGTGCCCTGATGAGGGGAGACTCAAACCAGCCACACTCCCTCTCCACTACCCATATGATGCTGCTTCACACCTCATGGACCACCTCCAACTAGAGGATGATGCTTCTGAATAGTGGTATTGAAAGCATCACTTGCACCTAGGTGACCCTTCAGCCTCTCCACCCCACAGGGTGGCAGAACCCTGGTTGACTGCTTTCAGACAACGCAGTAAACTCAATCCGCAAGGAACTAAGGGCTTTCCCTTATTTAAATGCCCCAAAGAGGGGGAGAAGTTCAGGTTACAAGACGGCTTTGGGAAAAGTTAAGAAGATAAAAGAAGTGGCAGCAAACTGCAGAGGAGCTGTGTGGCTTTGAGAGGTGGGGGTTAACCATCACCAGGGGCCACGCTGGGACACCAGTAATGAAGGTGCACAAGCCCCTTTACTGACAACCACTGAAACAAAGCACGTGGTAGCACTGCAGCTGCCTGTCACACAGCATCCCTTAAAGCCATTTATGAGAAGTGTGTAGTAAACTGTTCTTATGCAAGCTACTACCGGGTAAGAGCGGTGGTGAAAATTTGTCTGCCTCTTTCCCTCTCTCTCCTCTATATATATCTGCTCACACATAGACAGAGCTCATCTAAATTAGCTCGGAAGCTAACTGCTTCATTCCCTGAATTGCACTTAAGGCAGGCTACGCTGCTGGTGGAGCAGCTATTGTACAGAACACATGGCTGCTGACTAAATCAAGATACATACCTTAGAGAGACCTCATTGTACAAGAATAAAGTCAATGATAGGCTGCACCATTTGCCAGCGTAACACTAGAAGAATTAGAGGAGGGGAAAAAAAAAAAAGACCACAAAGCATCAGTTGTATCCAAGGTTAAGGAAAGGGCAGGATGCTTTTTCAGGAACGGGGATGCAGAGCGATCCATAACACACCAGTGGCAAAGTTACATTTGTCATTTCCTGCCACCACTGTGCTGTGCTGGGTGATTTTATAGCAAGGGAACTGGGGGTAGGGGGAGAAACATCCTCCTTGCCTCCAACGCAAGGGAGCAAAAATAAACCCAGGCGTAGGAAATAGAGAAACACCCCAGTGAAGAAGGCACGGGGAGCAAACCCGCACTGCCCAGAGCTGCGTAAGCAGCAGGTCCCTGCATCCGGGAAGGATGCAACAAGGAAACAAAGTTTTCCCCCTCTGTTAGGGGAGGATGAAGCCATTCCCCCCTGGGCCCCCCATCTGCTTGCAGGAGGCTGTGTGCAGGGGGTGTGCAGGCAGGGAGGGCTCCCGGCAGAGCAGATGCTGCTGGTGGAGCATCTCCAGGCTCCCACCACCCCCTAGTGGGCTCCCGCACGCTTTCCACATGCATCCCGCATGCATCCCACACGCTTCCCAGGACCCACGGCTCACAAGGGCGAGCAAATGGGTGATGCTCCAAGTGTGCCATGGGCTGGCTGCTTTGGGATGTCCTAGTGTTGCCTTCTCCCTTCACCCCACTCATGCAGTGGCTCCTGCAGACCAGGTAGGAATGCAACCCTGGAAGCTCCCTCGCTGTGTGCCTACACTGAAGCAAACAGACTCATATTGCCAGGGAACAGAGAAAGTTGCTTCCTCCCTAGAGGAATCCTTTAAGAAGGACACAGGCATGTGCATCAGCAACCGACTCAGAGCATCCAGCTCCCCAGCCTGCTTTAACCTGGTCTGTCCTTAACAAGAACCAGCAGCAGATGTGGCTCTCAGGGACATGGCTCAGTGAAGGACTTGGCAGTATTCGCTTTCCAGTTGGACTCGATGATCTTTTCCAACCTACACGATTTCATGACTCCGAGTTTCACACTGCTGCAGACACGGCTCTGGCACCTGCCAGCCTTTAGCTACAGATCCTTTGTGTTAAGGGAGGGATGAGATGCATGAGAACCACCCCAGCATCAGGGGATTCACTAAGCCAAGACTTGCTGAGCAGGCCCAGAACTATAGAGCACCTGCTTAGAAACAGCTCATTGCTTAAACCACCTCATCATCACCCAGCAAGGCAAGGCTTTATTTTGTGCTTCCTGGCCTGGAAAGACTTCTGAGCCCTGCAGAACAGGGTGGCCTCGGTTTACTCTCAACTTATTTCACTTACTTCAGGGTCTATTTCATCAGCACCAGCTCTGCCTCCTTTATGCTTTTATTTCTATTCTCCTTTCTAAAGTCCCTCCATGATGCCGTCCAGGGCAGCTTTAGGAGCTCCTCCTACCCCATCCTCACCCTCCGCCCCCAAGAGGCCAGAACAGGGTCTGTGCTAGCAGCAAGAGCCTGCAGTCAGACATTTAGGAGCCCTCAACACATTGCAATCAGCAGGACATCAGCTCTCCCTAAGCTCAGGCCTTGACAGACACTGAACATTCAGCAACACACATAAACACATATAAGGATCAGAAATCAGGTAACAATGAAGCCTATGGAAGATTCTGACAAAAGAGAAGCTCTGACTTAAACCCTGCCCCAAGTCACTCCAAAGACGTTCAACCTCCCACATGTAAAGTGATTTTCACCTCCCAGAGCCCATTACAAGGTGGCAGCAGCCCTCGGGCTCCCAGCTGCTGCTGAACTTAGAAAGGATGCAGGGGTTAGAAACCACTACAGCAAACTCCAGCCTTTCTCCTGCCCTGGAAAGCAGCAATCCTCCAAAGCACTCACCCAGAAAAGAGTTAACAGCGAGGCAGCCTCAGTTGCCACACCAGGAGATGGGAAGAAATGCAACAGATTTGAAATATCAGAGCATCCACAGCAATTCATGAGCTAGACCTTGGGGAAGGACAAGTGTTGTAGCTTCTCTGGAGGCAACGTGCTGATTAATTTCAGGACCGTGATGAAGCCATCCCACCATGGGGAAAGCTTCCATTTATCTTCCAATCTGCCTGATGCCTGTAGGCTCAGGGAAACAGGAGGGGACGTTTGGGGTCTTTTATCCATGAAAGAGCAGAAAAAAAGCCATAGTTTAGCACAAGGCAATCTGCATATTCAAGAGTATGCACATAACCAGTATGCCAGGCAAGCAATAGGGAATATTTTAGACCAAGACACGGTCCTTTTACTGGCAGACACTCACAGAAGTAGGATTTGCTATAGGACCTCATGTCTCTGATCTATCAAGACTGATTTCTCTCCTCCAACTCGAGCTGTTAACTAAGCTACACGCAGAGGGGTTCCGTTGCCTTCTGCGAGCCACTCACACCCTGTCCCTGAAGAAACCCTACTCTCATCTGAAAAATCAACTCCTTGAACCGTGAAACTTCTTGTTACTTTTAATCACTGGAAGGTAAATGTCATCCCTACTGCACCAAACCTCTGATGCTTCACTTTTTATGCCTTAGAATTGATGCTCTGGTTTGTATGGGGTTTTTGCAGTTGACCAACCGCGTCTAAAGAAACCACGCTGCAAAGCCAGAACCCAAGGAGCAAGCACCATCAACTTATGTATTATAGGTGCTTCATACAAGAAAGCTTCACAGAAGGTAAAACAACACGACTGGGAGGCACAAAGTCATTTTCCTGCCCCAACACATTGCACCCAGCGAAAAGCTGTTACCTCTGCAAGGTATGGTAAGGGAGCAGGGGCACACCTCAACACAGATGCACGCAGGGTGATGCCCTGAAAAGCATAACCCTGAGGTGTCCAGCAGTATCTCAGACCCAAACTTAAGCAGGTATCCCAGTTATCCCTGCTTCAGACACCGCAAAGCAAGGAAGCTGGTGGATAAACGAGAGCAACACAAAACCTTCGGTGACCTGGCAGAGTAAACACCACCCTGTCCATACAGCATTCCGCACCGTTCCCTTGGAGGGTCCCCAGCCTGATTCAGGTTCGGAAAAGGCTGAAAGTGCCACGCAGCAGCTCGGGCAGTCGGTCGAGACACGAGGATCCGGCGTCAAGATGAAAGTACGACACCAGAATTATTCCTAGTCCCATCCCCCTCGCCACAAAAGCTGAAATAGGAGGAAAGTCTGCAGGCGTTCGCTACAGACCCAGGCGCTGGAGTTGTGCGTGAAGCAAGAGCCAGCTCCGAGAACTGAGACGAAAGCGTTTATAAAATTAGGCTCTGATTGATAAAAACCAGCCTCTCCCGTCCTCCCAAGCTCGGGGTACCTCCTGCAGGGCTACGCGTCCAAGTTGGAGCCTCAGAGGCAGCACCCATCACTTTACACCCTGAGCGAGATGATTGACTCCCAGGGCTCTCCGGAGGCAGCAGCCCTCAGGCCCTGCTAAAAAATCCCTCCCCAGCAGGAAATAAACCCCAAACCAACCCGGGTGCAGCAAGGGCAGGGTTACAGAGCTCCAAACCCCCAGCAGGCTGCCCGCGGTGAGGGGATGGGGAACAGAAACCCCGCTGTACAGCTCGGAGCCGGCTGCCCGCCCGGGGATGCTCCGGTACCGGTAACGGTGCGGGATAGGGGGGGGACCGTCGGGATAGGGACACACTGTCGGGACGGTGAGCGACTTGGGTGCCTACCGAGGGTGAAGAAGGGCAGCTCGGTGTTGTCCAGGTCATCCTGCACGGCGACGCGGCCGGGCAGCTCGCTGCGGACGAAGAGCAGCAGGCGGGAATCGGCGGCGGCAGCAGTGGCGGCGGCGGCAGCGGGCGGCGGGGCCCCGCTCCAGCTGATATCGTTCTCACGGAGCACCGGCAGCGTGGACACCGTGACCGTCTTCACACGGCAGGGACCGGGGGGCTCCCGCGACGACGCTGCTGCTGCTACCGCCGCCGCTCCGGGCCCGCCGCGCATCAGCACCGGCAGCAGCAGCAGCAGTACCAGCGGTGCGGCGGCGAGGCGGTGCGGGGCGGCCATGCCGGGCCGGAGCCAGGCGCTAGAGCCGCGGCGAGGGGAGGCGAGCGGAGCCGGGCGCACTGAGCCGCCCCAGCCCGCCGCCGCCGCCGCCCGGCTCCGCTCCGCCTCCCGCTCCGCCCCGCCACCGCTCCCCGGACGCGGACCTGGCGCCGATGAGCCCCGCGGTGCCCCCCGTGCCTCTTCCCTCCTTCGCTGCTCGGCGAATCCAGCGTTTTCCCTGCCTATCCCACCGCCAGGCACCCGCGGGCTGACCCTCGCAGGCAGCACTGAGAGCTGCCTCCTCTCTAAGCTTTAACTACTTACTGCCCTTTCCCAAGGGAATAATCACCTCCCGAGCGCAAGGAGACGGTTTGCAGTGACAAGCCTGGAGCACACTGACTTACAGCAAGGAGTATTTTGACCTGGTCTTCGAGACAGTGGTTAAATAGCAGCTAGAGGGATAAATGAGGCTGAGGTCTGATCAAGTTCCTATATCCATCCATCCCCCAGTGTCACATGAGGGCTGAAGTTGGTGCTCAAAGACAAACCCGGCGAGCTCCACCACCCTGATTTTAGCCTTAAGCCACCACAGAGCCAAATGGCTCTTCCAAGCTGGAATGATGAGGATTCTTTCAGAGGCAAACCCAATCCCTGCAGGCCACATGGACACGGTCAGCCTAAGCCCCACAAGAACATGCCCGCAGCTGGGCATGACTAACAGTGAGGAGGCAGCCTACGGTAGTTATGAGTCAACGACTCAAAACAACAGTTGCCTATTGTCTGCTGAACTACCTGGTTTCATTTGTAGAGGTACATGTAAAAGAAGATGTCAAAACCCAAACAATGCACGCTCAACACTACGGCTTGCGTTATTGCCACAAGCTAATTAGGAGCCATTCATCACAGGCCTATTGAAGCAAAACAGCTTTGAGATACTGGGGTCACCAGACGTTAAAACCACAGCAAGGGCAGAATGGCAAAGAAGGTGAAATGCAGCAAACACTCTGAGCTGTGCTTCCAGCATCAGTCCCGGCTCCAGCTCACAGCCTTGACAAGAGTTAACACCCTGGTGCAGGAGTGCTGGTGCCTGCTTCCAGCTGGGAATACAGACAAAGTGCCCACCAGCAAAGGGGCAACGAGTTATAAAATATCTAACCTGAGGCCCCAGCTCTGCCTAACTGGAGGAAAGGTGTTTCCAGGCATGCTGGAAATAGAAAATCAAACAGAAATGCAGTCCTAGTGTCAGCTGTTGGATGGGAAAACTAATAGCAGAAAAAGTGGGAAATTATGGATTTTAGACTTAGCAGCTGTCAGTACAGGCACTGATTTCCACGCATTATCAGCACATGTGCTGATTTCCTTTCCCTAGTTTCAGAACTTCATCTAGGCAAAAGATGAGGCACAAGTTCTTCCCTGTGAGGGTGCTGAGGCACTGGCACAGGGTGCACAAAGAAGCTGTGGCTGCCCCATCCCTGGCAGTGTTCAAGGCCAGGTTGGACACAGGGGCTTGGAGCAAGCTGCTCTAGTGGAAGGGGTCCCTGCCCGTGGCAGGGGTTGGAGCTGGAGGAGCTTTAGGGTCCCTTCCAACCCAAACCAGTCTGAGATTCTGTGGAAAAAGCAAGGCAGCTCTGCTGCACAGATATGCAGAATGACACACTAGAAGGCAGTGTGTCTGAAAAGTACATTTTTTATGGCTTTTTTTAGAACAGGAAATCCCAAAAAAGAAAAACACCTATTTCTGTGTAAAGCCCCATCGCAATTACTCAGACTGTAGCCACTTTTCTGCAGTGCTGTACATGTGCAAGTAGAGACTTTTTTTGATGTCAAGTACCAGAGGATTTTGGCAATGGGCTATCCTAGGATGGGAATAGGATCCAGAGATACCTACTGCTGTCACAGCATGCTTTGGGACGTGCGGGTTTCTTCATAGACTGGTTTGTGTTGGGAGAGACATGAAAGCCTAAGGGCCCATCTCAATCTCCCCTGTGGCAGGTTAAAGCCATTCCCCTTGTCCCATCCCTACAGGCCCTTGTCTAAAGCCCCTCTCCAGGTTTCTTTGTCAACCCCCTTTAGGTTCTTCTATCATTTTTTCCATGGATCCACCTAAATTGGAGATGAGGGCATGCGCTTTAAGTATACCCAGAGTTTCTCTGATCTACCATATGCCATCAAGCAAGCAGAAATGCTTTTCAGGGTTTACAGCTGGAAAGCAACCATCAGGAGACGCACGTTCGAATGCCTGCTTTGCTGCTGACTGACTCTGGGCAAGTCCTGAGACATCAGAAAGCAGAGCTGGGAGGGACATGGAGGGCTTGGCCTGTCTGTGCCCCTGCCCAAAGATCTGAGCAGCTCCACATGGACCATTCAATCCTGTTTTGCCTTGCTGTCTGTATTCATCAAGCACTGCTCACAGCTACCCTCGGAGAAGCACGCTGAGATTTCTGCAAGCCCTCCTGTACATGCATGGACACAATAATAAAGAAGCATGTTCTGCAAACCCCTCCCTTTAAATAGGTACATTGGGCTTCAATTTACCTTAGATTGTTCCCAGTGTAAATACACATCTTTGTTAGTGCGTTTTTGGAAGAAAAGGATTCAACTTGCTGTTTAGTTCCAAAGAATGGAGCTAAACAAAACCTCACTGTTGGAAAACACCAATGAGATTTCTAAAGTGAAGTAAGTTTTAGTCCTGATTTAAAACTAAAGTAAGAGGGTTTTATTACCAGCACCCCCACCCCTCAGAGCAGCATTCTACAGAGAAGTAAATGGCACAAACAAGGTAAAACACATCACACTGAGAAAGTTCCACTTGCTAGCAAAATACTCTAGGAAGACTTAGAGAAGCACGCTTTCAGGATGCTTTAAGTCCATACAAACTGTGGATTTTCAAGCCAATTGCATCATTCATAACCCAGATGTGTATTTGTAAATAAGGCCCATTTTGAACATCCTTTTCTTGTGCTTCACAGATCCAGCCTTCCCTCAGCTAACTGCCAAACCATTGAGTTCAATAGCACTGGGGCTGGGAAACCAGCAAAAACTGCTGCTCCCAGCAAGAGCTCTGGGACCAAAATGGAAATCATCTTACAAGTGCAAAAGCATTGCACTGACAAGACCCATCTGGGTAGGGTGTGATGGGGGATCTGACAGGTTGTCAGGAGACACCAGCTCTATTATCACCTCAACTGCTCACTGACTGTGCTGCTCAGGGGGCAAATCCCTTGGGCACTCCTGAGGTTTGTGTCCTTTTACATGCAGAAAGTCAAAATCATTTGTTACCATAGTAAAGATACAGAAATTGGTTCTGTAAGTCCCAAATGTGAGGGTTTCAGTACAAAAAGCACATTCTCAGCATGAGCTGGGAGTTTCTCCTCTATGGAGCAGCAATAGCGTGGCTGTAGATGCAGAGCATATGCCGTATCACGCGAACTGTGACTACACTGAACCTTATGTCTGCATCTGCCTACATCCATTCCCAATATTCACCTGAGTGGATTCTTCCCAGCAAGAACTTGGAGCCGCTCTTCAATTTATTTCTTATTCCCAAAGCAGAGCAGCTCAGCTCCAGGGTCATTTTCTTCTGTACAACAATAGCCCAAGCAGGATTCAGGCCAACCCATGATTCTGTGCCTCTGGAGAACTTTCTGCAGCTGTTTTGCTGGAAAAAATGCTTAAAATATCTATACTATCTAAGTTTAAATAGGATAAAGGGGAGAAGAAAAGTCATTCTCTTTTAAAGGGTCACAGATGAAGCATTCTTCGACTTTCAATCCTGCAAGCTGGGTTTCTGGACACCCAGAACTAATGCATCTTTTATCGGCTGGCACGGAGGAGGAGGAGGAGGTTATTGCAAAGATATCAATAGCAGCTTTCTGAAGTGGTTTTCAATTGGGCCTATTACCAGAGAGATGTACATTCAGCAGCCATCATTAAAATGCACTATGTATTTACAATATAGAGAACAATTTATGCCTGTAATGCATATCGCAAACCTAGCAAGCAGAGGGGAAAGCCATATAGCCATGATGCAATCAGAGGCTTATATTTCACCCTGCAAAAGTCACATCAGCATCAATAACTCCACTAAAGAAGTGAAAAAGGGTGTGTGGGGGGGTTATATTCTGAAGGAAACACCACAAATGCATTTTGCTCCTAAGCTGTGGTGTACAAAAGCTGGTCCACAGCCACACGGTATCTGGCCATGGTCGATGACCACATCGCTCAAGCTGTGCTTCTGTCAGCTCTCACCAGCAAAGCAAGAGACAGGCTGGGTCAGCAATTCAGAAGCACGTCCTGGGAGAGAAAGTGAGGGGCTGCACAAAGTGCCCTTTGCAATTCAGTCGGTGACATTCTTGCTTCCAGGTTAATAGCGAGCCAACAGACCCCTTGCTGTGCTCAGAGCCGCAGGAGACGTTGTCTTCCTGACAGGGCATCAAACTAGGAGCTTCCTGACCACTTCCAGATAAACACCCTGAGGGAACACTCTGCTAGCTTTGACTCTCCTGCCTTTGCAGCCAGAAGCAGCTGAATTCCCACCTCCCTTCTCAAACACAAATAGTTACTGCCTACCTTTCTACCTGTGCACTGGAAAACAGCCCCTGGGCTCAGTTGGGAAGGGCCTGAGTGGTAACAGGGAGCTGCATAATTTGTACAGGTAGGAAAGGCTGTTGGGAGTTTTGGGTGGAAGTACAGACTAAATGGTTCCATTACGAATAACAGCCCTGACTTACCCAGGTGAGAAGGTGCCCATCACCATGGCGTCAGGGCATGTTTTAGTTTTCCACCTCTGGATGGTACCATCCTGAACTACCTTTTGCTGTTCTAAGGTCGGGTTGGACTTGGAGCATCCTGCTCTAGCAGGGGTCCCTGCCCGTGGCAGGGGGTTGGAACTGGATGAGCCTTAAGGACCTTTCCAACCCAAACTGGTACAGGATTCTATAACTCACCCTGGAGCGCACCAGGGGTTTAACCAGATCTTACTTGTGCATGGTATCAGCAACCTGCTAGGCACATTCATGAGA